ACTTATATGTGGAATCTAAACCAATTGAACTCTCATAGAAGCAGAAAGGTAGAATGGTGGTGACCAGAGGCTGGGGGGTCGGGGGGTCGGTGAAGAGAATAAGGAAATGATAGTCAAAGGGTACAAAACCTCAGATAGGAGGAATAAGTTAGTTTTTTTTTTTTTTTTTTGAGATCTATTACACAGCATGGTGAATATAGCTAAAACTGAGTACTGTACATTTCACTGTCTCTAAGGGAGTAAATCTTAAATGTTCTTAACAAAGAAAAGACAGTTAATATAATCGATTGGTCAGTTAATAAAAATGATAAGTTGTTTAATACTCAAGCACTTCAAAAAGTTCATGGAAAAATAGAATTAAAAGATAACATGAATCTTTCTGTGAACTTTTTGAAGTACGCTCATATAATTGAGTCTAAAATATAATGGTAGATATTCCTATAAGAAAATCAAACTTCCTTCTGAAATAAATTGTTATCATTATTTACTTATTTACATTTATTACATTATTTACATTTATTTAGCTCATTATTATCATGAGTTTCCCTCATCATGAAAGATGCAGGTTTTAAAGATCATGTTCTTGTTCAATTTATTATACAGAGAAATGCCACATAGGAAAAAAGAGAGGAAAAGGTAACTTGCATTTCTTGGAGCTGTGGTTGACCGAGTAGGAGAATGATTCATCTCCCTTTCCTGTAAATATTCCCATTTCTTTCCTTTCCACTGATTTCACCTGACTTAAAAAATCTGCTATGGCAGCTTATTAAATCATCACTTCATGGTTATAAAGAAAAGTGCCGGTCGCAGCAGCTGGAATCCACATTACCCTCACCTAAATTCCTCAGTAAACTAGAGCAGCAGCAAATAATGTATTCATGGTGTGGTGGATTTATTAGCAGCTCATCTCATCCCAGCTTCTCTTTTCCTTAATCCCAGCTCTTCCTCAGTAAACTAGAGCAGCAGCAAATAATGTATTCATGGTGTGGTGGATTTATTAGCAGCACATCTCATCCCAGCTTCTCTTTTCCTTAATCCCAGCTCCTTTTTTGTATAGTCTAGTACTGTAATTAATTAGGATACTTATAAACTGCAGGCTGCTTTGAATATTCATGACCTTCGCAGAGCCAAATTAAAGTGCCTTCTTCTTCAACCTGCAGATGAACATTTAGTTTGATTTGTAACTGAAAATTCTTCGTATTTTGCCATTTAAATCACCAAAAATACTATGTGGAAAAGGTGAAATGATCACTGTTATGTTGAGCTTTCTCTGACTTTGTCAACCATCAATCTTTCTAAAGTTTCCTTTTTCCTTTAAAAAAAAATCAGGATTTTTAAACTCCTCTGGATATTACCTTTTTACCTAATAGAAGTTCTGAGTCAAGTTACTATTCAAAGTGCTAAATTCCACAGCTATAATTTGGCTGTTGTTTAGTGACGTAGACCAAAAAAGATGTGGCATGTAAGTTAAATATGATCCTCCAAAATAATAAGAGAATGTCCATTTTGCATAAGCTATTTCTTCACTAATGGTAAAGTGCTGCTTGGCTACCTCATACTATGAAAGTTTTCTTTATCTTTCTTCTGAAGTAGAGTTTTGGCCTGAATCCTGATTGTTTTTCCCATCTTCATATAAGATGCAAGAAAATTACACTGCCTACCAATAGGACATGAGTATTTATGAAATTTTCAGTTTTGTAGGAAAACCTTTCTTTCAGTGAGAGAGTAGGCCTGAGGAGAGGCTTCTTGTGGGGAGACTGAGTCAAAGTAGTACTTTACACTGCTCCTGGAATGAGATTTTTCTCATAGCAATCCGGTACTAGCAATGGGCAAATCGCCCTGATATTTTCCCCACTGAGAGGGAAATAAGGTATCAGGTTTTCAATCTACAGTTTTATTTTGCTAAAAAAGAGCACAAGCATTAAAGATACACTGGATATCAGGGACTGAATATGAATAGGTCTATTGTTTAACTAGGATTTTTGTCTTTTGTTTTCATATTCTCATATGTCAAGCATCCCTGACGTTTTATTTTGCTAAAAAAGAGCACAAGCATTAAAGATACACTGGATATCAGGGACTGAATACGAATAGGTCTATTGTTTAACTAGGATTTTTGTCTTTTGTTTTCATATTCTCATATGTCAAGCATCCCTGATACCTAATGTACTGGAAGCCACATCACTACAGAAGACAGATGGCAACAGCTCGCATGTATCTAGCCTTTGCCCACAAACTTGACATACGAATCTTCCAATGACTGGCCGATTCCTTTTGCTTTTTTTTCCCACAATAACTGTTAGTGCCATTTAGAATGAAACTTTGTCCTCTTGTTAGATACTCAAGATTTGTTGCCTGTTTTGCTGTTTTCCTCAATTTGTTGGCCATTTATTCACTTTATCTAAGTTAATGTATTTTCTATTGCTATCAGTGGACTTTTAGTATGAAAATCAAATGGTGACTAACCACGGTAGGCAAAAACTGTTTTTCTGTTTTGGAAACAATGTGAGGGATACCCACCTTCTTGTGTTTTATTACATCAGCTATCCACCCCCCCGCCTGCCAAGGCAGTCTTCAAAATGAACTGTGACCAACTTTGTTACTGTTTTACTGCCACCAGAACCTTCTCCACACAGTGACTTCTTTTAGTTGTTTTTTAAAAGAACAGTCATCGTCTCAGCTTTGGTCTTTAACCGTCGTGAAAATACCTTGGCTTCATTCGTGCTTTCCAGGATTCTATCTCTATGTGTTAATTTCATTCCAGGTGTGATGTTTAGAGTACACAGTGTTTTATCCTTTTTTTTCTTTCAGCTCCAGAAGATGTGTTCCTTCCACATAAACCAGACCCTCAGCTCTCTCAGAGTGAACCTGGTAAATGAATTATTTTATTTTCCCAGTTAGGAAGTATATTTTTCAAAAAATATTTTGAGGTAAATATATTCTTAATGTTTGTGATAAGGAAGAAGTTCAGAGAAAATTATAGATATAAAATGTATATTTCTTTTGGGAAAGCTTAATCATACAATCTGGTTGAAATTTTTCCCCTGGTTAAATGAAGAAATAGTATATAATTAGTTTATTTTCCCTGGAAGTGTTTGTGTTGAATATGAGATTATGCCAAAATTATAAAACATAATTGTCATCTGAGCCAACTGTTTTACATCCATTCAAAATGTAAATGTATCTACAACTGTGTGTATACTTTTAAGTAAAAATGGTGAGTGTATACTCAAAAATTTTCCTCAAAGTGACAAGAACTTCAAAGATTTAGTTTAAGTTTCCTGAGTGGCATCTAATGTGTAGAATTTTCTCATACTTATTACAGTTCTTAGAGTATGTTTAAATGATTAAATAGATGCGTCTAGAAAATACGGAAAGTATTTTGACTTCACCAAGTAGTAATTTTCATAAATATCTTTCTCTGGTTTGCTTTTGGCATAGTTCTGCAACCTGTTACCTTTAGAATTGATCCACCAAAGACAACAGTAGGTAATGGTTTTCCCATATTGACCAAGTCTAATTGTTTTCTTTGCCACCATCAAGATTGCAGGTCTTTCTCCAGTGGTCATGTTGACACATCATCTCTTCCCAATCCACTTCATCATTTTATTAACATTATTATTACTCTTTCCAAAATAGAAAAGCAACAGTTTCACTGTTGGAAAGGCTTTTCTCTCTGAAGACCACGCAGGACAGCTTGTTACTGAGTCCATCCTCATCCACCTCATTTATCTCCATGTTCAAAATGAATTCACCTCACTAGGGCTCCTCTAGTTAACAATTTCTGCTGGGTTAGTGGTTCTCAACTGTAATGGTACAACACACTAGCGTGTGGCAAGTTTAAAAGTTGATGCAAGTAATTATTACTAACATTGGTCAACTTAGTAAAAATACTAAAAACTGCCAGTGATTTATTTCTTCTAAAATATAAATATTTGTCAAAGTATATGCTCAAAATACTAAAAACTGCCAGTGATTTATTTGTAAAGCTAAACTTGAACAGACTCAAGAAGATTATCCCAACAATGCTGATATCCTCATTCATTTTGTAATTCTATGTGCTCTCTTCGGTTGTAGAGAGGGGGACAGGGCTACAGCCGAGAGACCAAGACTGTGCCCACATTGTACCCATTTTAACCAGCTATTCTCATGAAGTGGTCAAGCATCGAATGTCATTTATTACGTGTTCTGGCAGAAAAACAGTTGAGAACCATTATTCTAATATTCTACCGTCATTTTCCTGAACATTCTGTGCACTCAACTTTCTTCATCATGACTTGATGTTTTTCTTTTACTATTTCAAGTGAAGAAATCTCGTGTATACCAGTCTGGTCTGGTGCTGGCTTTGAATCTACAAATTTACTATGTCGGTATTTTCTTTTGCAGCTCCTTTAGAGACACGAGGCATTCCTCTTGTACCTATGATTTCACCAAGTCCTAGCCGAGAGGAACTACAGACCACTCTGGGTAAATTTTGTTTTGATATTCCAGTCCAGTGAGGGGCCTGAGATTGCCATAGTACACTATGTTCATGGGTTGTTTCCAAATAATAGAAAGTCTCATTTTACCATTATAAAAAATATTCACTTCGGGCCGGCCTGGTGGAGCACTCAGTAGAGTGCGGCGCTTGGTAGTGCGGCGGTGGTCCCGCTGAGGGTTCGGATCCCATATAGAGACCGGTCCGCTCACTGGTTGAGCGCGGTGCGGGCGCGACACCGAGGGTTGCGATCCCATTACCAGTCGCGGTACGGGAGCGACACCAAGGGTTGCGATCCTGTTACCAGTCACGAAAAAAGACAAAAAGGAATGAAATCCTTTTTGGAAAAAAAAATAATTAAAATTGGATGAGCGAATATACCTCAATTTTTACCAAATACTCATCTATTCTAGCGTAGGCCTGCAGTCGACATAACCCATGATAACAAAGTTAAAAGTACTTTTCAAAATCCACTACTGAATATACCAATTATCTAATTTCCACTTCCTATTTTTCAATGTGTCTTGGTTTACTGAAGCAAGAACCATCACCTGCCAACTGCACAAGAATCTCTCTTATAAACAGAATCAAGAGAATAAAGCAGGGAAGGAAAAAACATGACAATATGTTATTTACACCGAGTGTTGCAAAGTGAACAATGTAATTTGCTATGTCTATATGACATTATGATTTCAAGATAATATGGGGGTGGAACTATTGCTGTGTTTTTTTTATTTTGTCAGGAGAAATGTGTCAATAACATACACTCTGAATTTCACATGAAGAAAATAGAAGAATAATTGTTCTTGTATGGTATAAATACACATCTTTTCATATGACATATTTTCTTTCCAGCTCACCTAAATAATTTGTGGAATTTATGGAGTAGAGAAGAGACATGAAAGAGATAAATACATAAAAACAGGAGACTTTCATACATGAGCCACACTCAAATGTATTGTTGACTGCTTGATAGCAATAACTAAGTATGAAAGCTACATCCAAGGTCATGAAACAATGATTCTGAGCTAAAAGCTTTTGGAAATTCTTATAATCATTAAAATAACTGCAGAAGGCAGTGAATATAATAAACGAGAGTTACTAAAATGTACCATTAACTTTGAATTACTATGATTACTGGGAGTATTTTTTAAATGCAATTTACCCTTTAATCATTGTGTGGGGCAGAAAAGAGCGTGGCTTGTTTTTTTTTGTTTGTTTTTTGTTTTTTGTCACATCCATAGTGACAATTATTTAAAATGAGCCTTCTTACTGTGTTTTTCTCCAGAAGAAACAGACCAATCCACTCGAGAATTCTTCACAACTAAGATTACACGAACAACTGACCTGGCAAAAACAACTCAGGGTAATATTATTTCCCCACCTCTGGATTGTAACTTTTCCTTATTTGCTTTTAATCAGGAAAGAAATGTTCTTTTCAGAATATTTCTCATCATGGTGGGCTACTTGATGTTTTTCATTTCATCGGTGAAAGACATCAGTCAAATCTGAATGCTTATATGATATTAATTGAATGTAGGGAAGACACATTCTCCAGTCGGAGCTTTGCTCTTAAGTGTATCGTTGACTGCTTGGTATCAATAACTACGTACAAAAGCTCCCGTTTCTTTCGTTGCTCGACTTTCATTTGCCTCATTTTCACACCCGAGAAGTAAGAACGTTTCCAACCTTTCTCTTCTGCCTCGCCCTCCCAGTCCTCTCCCCTTTCTCCCTCCCTTTATCTCCTTCTCTCCCCCGTCCCCCACTTGATGAAACACAATGATATTGCAGCCTGAGAAAAGAAACTACATTAACAAGAAAAACATTTTTTTAATGATGGCAATATTTAAATATCTAGGGATGTGTTCTCTGGGATTCCCTACTTTTATTTCTTCTTCTCTGGGTTCTCCTAATTCAGGAGAAGTAAACTCATCGACACAAAGCTCCATTTCATCTTCGTGCTCTCAGTCTTTCCTTTTTATGTTTTTCTATCCTTCTTGATTATAACCAATTGTGGATTTCCAGTACTTTAATGGTTTCTTTTTTTTTTTAATGACCCCCCATTGCCTATCTCTACCTCTATCAGATGACAGGAAGCCAAAAATAAAACTAAAAATAAAAGCAGACTTTTTCTAAGGAGTTGGAAGACAAATAAATTTACTTTATCTATTACCAGTTCTAATTTGAGGGGAAAAGTTGGTGGAAGAAGTTTGAAATAACAACAGGAAATGATAATAAAAGAAATCTAATTTTGAAGTATGCATTTTTTCAGTGGGGTAATATGTATTCTAAATAAACATGACTAAGAAAGACTGTGGTGTAGGACAGTCTGAATCTGTTTTTATTTGTTTGCTTTAACTTTTTATTATATTTTAAATTTTTATTTAATTATTTCATTAAATTTTTATTTATTGACGTCTTATTTATTTGTAAATAAATACAGAATTCACAAGCATGATATAATGACAGCCCTTCCACATCCCCATTGCCAGCTTCAACAATTAGCAACAGATGGTCAGTTGTGCTACATCAATATCTGACCCTGATTTCTGTATGGCTCTTTTTTTACGTTTTTGCAAATCTCTTTAATGTCTGGCTTAATAGAGGATAACTGGGTTCTCATAATCAAACACATTAGTATTTTTGCAGCAAAATATATAAATATTTACAAAAAGAAGGATAAAGAAAGACTCTTATTCAGCTCAGGTTATGTTGTCAAATGAGAAAAAGATTTCAGCTTTTTAGAGCTTTATGGATTTCAGAATCGAGGACAAAAGATCATAGGCCTGCTCTTTCCTTTTGCTCCTTCTTTCTTTAAAGGAAATATCAATATTGTGTCATCATGACTAGTGCATGTGGAATTTTTATCAAATTCCATCTGAAACGTTTTTATTAGATATGAGTTTCACAATGTATTGGATGTATTGCAGAATCTTATATCATTATATAAATTGTCTTAACACACTTATATAATGTATTATTTATTTTTTTTTCTTATATGCTTAGGACCCTCAGCCTGAACTTAAATGGTGCTGCACTAGGATT